TGTCGAGCTTAGCTAATAATTTGGCTAAACCCTAAACCCTAAACCCTGAACCCAAAACCCAAAACCTTTCAACCCTAAACCCGAAACCCTGAACCCTAAACCCTAAACCCTAAACCCTAAACCCTAAACCCTACCCGCTCATTGGGGAAGTAAGAGGATTCCCGGGGCGGACGCAGAGTTGGCGCTTTAGGCTCAGGGCTGAAGCCCGTCAGCCCGGAAGTATCGAGGTGAGTAGGTGGGAACCACGGGTTGGGTTTTTGGTTCAGGGTTGAGGGTTTAGGGTTTAGGGCATTAAGGTTTGGGGTTTAGGGTTTTCGGGTTTAGGGTTTAGGGCTCAGGGCTATGGGCTTAACAACGGGCTCCGTAGGTTATCCTAGAGGGTCCCGTTTTCTAGTTCGGAATTAAGAATAAGCGAAGTCCTTTCGGGACCTAATTCCATAATTTAGGGTTTAGGGTTTAGGGTATAATGGTAGCATGTATGGACCCTCTCGGGATTGGCTCCACAGGTTAGTTAGCGCTGGGTTAAGCCCTAAACCCTAAGCCCGTGCAAGCCATCTGGCTGCGACTTATCCCTGCGGAGAGAAAGACCCATTGCATTTAAAAGCAAACCCTCAACGTTATGTCCCTGGACCTTATACCGTGTTTGTGGGCTTCGAACCGTTCGTCAAGGTCTGAACCTGCAGGGCGTGGCGCTGACCAATCCGGGAAGTACCTACCTGGACCGACAGTGTCATGAAGTCTTATTGGGGTTGGGGGTTTAGGGGTTTAGTAAGGGTTCAGGGTTTTAGGGTATTTAGGGTTTAGGATTATTCCAATTCAAAGAGAGCAGTTTCTTAAGGTCCCTCTATTATTTTGTTCAGTGGTGTGTTTAAAAGAACATGGCCGCCCTCACCTGTGACTAGCTCAGCTCAGACAGAGTGTCAGTGTAAGACCGTGTCGAGTGGTTAGTTAACAACCTTGTGGTTCGGGTGTAGAATTTCGGGTTGTGCGGTGGCTTGTTTGTTAGCACTCTCGGGTTTCAGCGCTTCGGGTTTAGGGCATATGTATATGTTTTTTTCATGCCTCAACCAGTCTGAGATTAAGGTGGGGGCCTGAATAGATTACCTATACTATTTTGGGGGTTCCTTATTCTAACTCTAGTATAATGGGCCCCAAACCCTATTCTAGACAAGTACGAAGGCCCCTACATTACGCTGGCCACTTGGGCCCTAAACCCTAAACCCTAACCCCATCTTCAAATGCTTCGAGTTTTAAAGATGATCAGGGTGTTCCCTCAGGACTAACCCTACCTAGACCCTAAACCCTAAACCCTAAACCCTCAACCCTAGACCCCAAAGAACCCAGCTTTTTAAGGACTTCTGTAAAGATTTCCTAACCAGGAGCCCTAAAAAGGGAGGCTCTCAAAGGTCCAGGTAAACCCTAAACCCTAAACTAGGCCTAAACCCGGGTTTAGGGTTTAGGGTTTAGGGTTTATAAACTAGGCCCTAAACCCTAAACCTCAAACTAGGCCCTAAACCCTAAACTCTATCACACCTGCGCGCTGTTCAACCCTTGAGCACGTTCACCGTTAAGCCCTGCATCCTTACAGTATGCGTGTTTCTGCTGCAGAGCCACGGTTTAAGGTTTAGGGTTTATAGGGTTTAATAGGGCTTATTTGCCATCATGCTGGAGACGTATCGAAGCGATTTGGCTTCGATCAAGAAGGCTTGGCATGATTTTTTTCACGGGCACCGCCTGCAGTTCCCCCAGCTGCCTGGTGTCAACCACGACGTTGCAACAGTCTGCCTCAAGCATCTGAGTCCGAACATGGTGGGCCAAGGGTTGGGCGCTCCTCTGAGCAATCCGAATGCGGCGCACCGTGCCATCGAGTCCATTGTCATGATGAGCTTTACGCAGAGGCATCCGGAGCTCATGGAGGGTCCAACAAAGACACTGCTCATGCAGTCTGCACTGCTCCCCATGACACTGGAAGAAAGGTACCTTGGGAGGACGATCCATGACTGGTGCCGTGCGTGCATGCTCTAGGGTTTATAGGGCTTATAGGGCTTATAGGGTTCATAGGGTTTATAGGGTTTATAGGGTTTATAGGGCTTATAGGGCTTATAGGGTTTATAGGGTTTAGGGTTTATAGGGTTTAGGGTTTTTAGGGCTGCCTAGCTGCTTCACACAGCTCGGACCCGGACGCCCAAGACGGAACTGTAATCCGCTGAGGTCGAAGCCAATTCGCCAGGAAAGCCACGATTAACAATACACACACCGAAGCGTGTACAGTCTGTGGCCCACTGTCCCAAAGCCCAAAGGGCTTTGGAGAATCTAAAGCTGTTTAACTTTAGGATGTAAGGTCTTGAGACAGACCCGACGATGCCATTGCTGCTAATATAGTGCCTGAAAAATCCCGGACATTTTCATCTCGTAAGAACGCGCGTCGGAAGGCCAAGGAAACTGAGTCCTGGATGGAGGAGATCAGTGAGGTCAGGGCATTATCCCGGAGCCACAAGACCAAGGCGTCTCTGTACGCCTGCCAAACACATTGAATTCGAAGCTCCGAAACCTTCAGCACTTGAACCAAGATACCTCAACCCGACTACCATACCCCGAAAACATCCCATGCCGGAAGCCCCCAAAATGCGCCCCAAAACTGTACCACTGAAGCTCGAACGCCCGAAACACACCACCGAACCACACCGAAGCTTTCCTTCCTAAAGTCTGCAGCCCCTAGACCCTAAAACGCAAACCCTAAACCCCTAACCTCCTAAACCGTCAAACCTTCTTCCGGCGGCAGTACCTGGGCTTGGAGGGCGGCTCTGACCTCTTGGAGTACGAGTGGCATTCGTCACACCAGGATCGCTTTGTTTAGGGTTTTGGGTTGATGCGCAGGGCCTGAACCCTAAACCCTGAAGGAGTTTGGGGATTCGGGGATTTGGGGGCGTTTGGGTTAGCATTCGAGGTTTAGGTATCAGGGTTCAGGGCTTCGGGCTCAGGGATTTCGGGCTTTGGGGCCCTAAACCCTAAATGCTAAACCTTATAATTTATAAACCCTAAACCCTAAACCTTATAAGCCTTAAACCGTAAATCCCAAAGCCTAAACCCAAAACCCTAATGGTTTGGGCTCGGGCTTTTGGTTTCCTGCCTTGAACTTTCAGGGGACATGGCCCCCCATGCACCACGTTTTCTCGGCCTTTGGGTCCTTTCGACCTGAGATAGTTGGCCTAAATAAAGATCAATACTAGTTTGGGGGGCTCCTTGTCAGAATTATACCTTAAACCCTGAGCCTTAAACCCTGAACCCTAAACCGTTAATTATACAGTATCATGAACCCCCAAACCCTATTCTGATTGGGAAGGCCCCTGCAGTAGCAACTTCTGTTATCATTGCAGGGCTTTCGAGTTTAGGGTTAAGGGGTTTGGGAGGGTTTAGGGCCTTAAGCCCTAAACCCTAAAGTTTAGGCGGGGGATTTGGGTTTAGCAGTATGGCTTTGTGTACCAGCTTGAGGGCCGGGGGCCCTGGGTTATCCAGCAGCCCAGTGATACCACCACTGAAGGAAGGTGAGTCGTTTCGTGTGAACGAAAGTCTGTGGCCCCAGAGATGAGCAAAGCCATCTCGAGCTATTGCAGGTCTCGCATGGCGGCACACTCGGCCCAGGACTCCTTGCTTATCCCAGGGGACTCGGACTATGCGGCTGGTCCTTCGGGGGCGGAATTGGCTGTCATGGAGCAGACCGCACCCCTTCATGAACCTGAGGAAGTTGGTCAAGGCCATCCTCCTTCGAGGGCCACCCCGGTCAAAGCCACCCCGGTCAAAGCCCCCCGCCAAAGAAGGGCAAGGTCGCCAAAACGGACAATCAGAAGGACGCTGACCCGGACCCGGCCTCTGCTGCCTCGTCTTCGAAACCAGAGAGCAAGGCCCAGGCCAAGAAGTTCAGGCAGACTAGAAGACTCCTGTTTGGCCTTAATATTAAGTGCCTATTCAGGGTAGTCGTTTCCTAGACCCCAAATCCCAAATATTGAAGCCCATAAGCATAATCCTATAACCCTATAATTAAACCCTAAACCCTAAAACCCTAAACCCTAAGTCACCCTACAAGCCCTGTTTTGTTTATGTAGGTTGGCTTTAGGCCTGGCTTTTGGAACAAGGTCGACTGCAGCTCTAGGCATTGTGGTTGTTTCGAGTTCCTTCAGTTGCGGGGTGCCCTAAACCCTAAACCCTACACCCCGAATCCCTAAACCCTTAAAACCTGAACCCCTAAATCCTTAAACTTCGGAACCCTAAACCTTTAAATCCCTAAAGCCTACACCCTAAACCTTTAAACCCTAAACCCTAAACCCTTAAACCCCTAAACCCTAAACCCGCTATCCGGCATAAAAACCCCAAAGCCCTGGCGGCCCCCGAATACGGCAGCACCCTTCTAAAAAGAACCCTAGGGTTTAGGGTTTAAGGTTTAGGGTTTAGGGTTTAGGGTTTAGGGTTAGAGAACTTCTCATAAATCAGAAACCAGCCACCCTAAGCCCTGCACAAGTGGACGAGACCATGGACTTGGGGGAACTTTGTTAGCGCTGCGGTGCCCTAAACCCTAAACCCCTAAACCCTAAACCCTGAACCTAAACCCTTAACCCTAAACCGTTGAAGCCAGGTTTTTCGCAGCTTTCACCTGCCTGGATTCCCTCATCATGGAGCACTAGGCGATGAGGGTTTAGAGTTTTAGGGTTTAGTTTTTTTTTCTTTGCGATCATGACCGCGAACCCTACACCCTGACCCTAAGCCCGAAACCGCGCGTTCAAGCGCACTCGAGTTGAAGGGAAGCTCCCTTGCATGCAGGACACGAAGACTTGTAGTCTCCAATATGTACTTATGTACTAGTCACTTTGGCCGTAAACTCTAAATTAGGGTCCCATTTCTCGGTCCCCAAAATAGTACGCCACCCTTATAATTATAATTATAAAAAGGACCCTAAGAGGGACCCTAATTCGGAGAACTACCCATAGACAGGTAGCAAGGCTTGAAGTAGATGTTGCGGTTGATGATACAAGTCCTGCATTACCCATAACAGGGAATATACCACAATTCCCATAGTTTCGGGTCCTTAAGGTAATGCAGCATTTGTATCATCATCAGTAGAAAGGTGCATGCACCAATACAAGGCTTCTAGATGTCCTTTGATGCCGAGCCTGCAGTGAGAACCCCGGGTTTAAGGTTTAGGGGTTTAGGGTTTCAGGGTTTCGTGTTTGGGGTTTAGGGTTTAGGGGTTTAGGATTTAGAAGTTTAAGGATTTAGGGGTTTAGGGGTCTAGGGTTTGGGGTTTAGGGGTTTAGGGGTTTAGGGTTCAGGGGTGTAGGGTTTAGGGTTCAGGGATTTCGGGATTTAGGCTCTAGGGTTTGGTGTTTCGGGGTTTGGGGTTTAGGGATTTAGCGGGTTTTCGCACTTCGATATGAGTGTGCGAACATGAGCAACCGCGGGATCTCGGGCAATGTGAGCACTACCCTAGACCCTAAATCCTAAACTCTCACTACTTCTAGGACATTTTCAGGTGGTAGCAGTTACCGTTATAGGAGCCTTATAGAAGGTCTATGTACCTTATAGAAGCCTTATAGAAGCCCTATATACCCTAAACTCCCCCACCTGTAGTTGCCTTTAACTACTGGGCCTTAGGGTTTGGATTTGGGGTTGCCGACTCGGGGGTCCCTAGCTGCCTTTTGTTTTTGTATGTCTCTTGTTTGTGGGGATTTAGGGTTTAGGGGAATGTGGGTCAGCTATAAAACCAAGGCTCAAGCCCACTCGCCAATCTTCACACGTTGGTCTTATAACCTAAACATGTTACGATCCCTTTTTACGTCCCCTCACTTACTTGAGATGGACGACAACATGCAAGTATGCAATGCAAGCCATCGGCCGGGCCGCGTTTCCGATGCACTCGGTGGTTTCCTTTCATTAGGGCATCGCAGGGCCAGTTCTCACATAGGCCATGGGCATTTGCTACAAATGCCCGCTTGAGCACCAAAGCTGTCATATCTGCAATGGGCACGTCTGGCAAGCCCACATTTGAAGAACCTAAACTCCAAGCCAGAAGTTTAAAACTTGTAAAAGCTGCAAGGCTTGCCGTCGATAGACCAGAAGTTACAAGCTGCAGACACCAATGGCATGAGAAAGATTCTGGCCCAGAAGCTAAACCCACCCTCTAATTAAGGGTTCATAACCTACGATTTCGTAAGGTTTGAGGATAGAGGAAGAGTCAACAAGTGATTCCGTTTGATGAGAGACCGGAGGGCAGCTGCAGACCGCAAGCACAAAAGTCTAAACTCGAGTCCCGAAGCCCTGTCAGATCTGATAAGAACCCTAAACCCGAAGCCGCGCAAGGCTTGCGGAGCGTCACTTTTGTTCCAACCACCGCGAGTGATCAACAGGCTGATTTGAGGGTTCTTGGTCTACCCCACCGGCACTCAGTTTTGCGGTAGGGTCTTACTGGTCTTACTACGTACGAGCATAAAGAAAGCCCAGTATAGAATTCACAGAGATCCTACAAAAAACGAAGGTTCCGGTGGGCTAAGGTAGGCTGAGGGTGTTGAAGTGTTTTTGTTGGGTATAGGTCCTGCGGTTGGAGTTGAGGGGCTCGGGTGTAGGCTATATAGGGCCTTTGGTGTAGATCGGGGCTGCATGGTTTTGGACCTTGGGTGTGCAATTTTGGGTGTATTTGGTGTAGGGGTTCCGTAACCTACCGCAACCAACTTTTCAGTAGGGTTACCAGTATAAACCATCCAGTATAGAATCCAGAGACCTTGCGAGGAACCCTGAACCCTTAAATCCTTAAACCCTAAACCCCTAAACCCTAGACCCCTAGACCCTAAACCCTTATACCCTAAGCCATTCTGCGAGGTTCTCTTTGTTTCGGGCTTCGTGGTGTAGACTCTCCCAGAAAGCCCAATACCCCTTAATGAAGGAATATGCCTTAAATTATAAGGGCTGGATATTACGATTTACGGTATATTCCTTAATAAAGGGGTATTAGGCTCTCTGGGCTAATGAGTCTACTGAGTCTTTTGCGAGAACGTGTGTCAGATGGCGAGAGCATGTCACAGTTGCAGCACCGAGGGGGTGACCTCCGCATTCACCATGGCACAGTATGACAGCCACATCGCACAGTCCAATGCATTGGTGGAGCCGTACAGAGCTGAGGCTGGATATCCCAGCGATCTGTTGCCCATGTCATGTGTGACTGGCTCACTTCCATACACAGGCAAGCTGAAGCAATGCATGGATAGCCAGGGTACCATATGCACCCTGTTGCGGGGCAAGCTGACCATAGTCTCTGTGGAGTTCGGCTCACAGCTGCTGTCCACAGTGTCGAGCATACTTGAGGCACACAACAGTGTGTCAGACAGACCATGCTGCTGCGCGTGGTCGTGTGGAAGTACATGGGCGCACAACTCCGACGGTCCTGTGGAGCCGTCATCTCCAAAACCATGCATCACAAGTAGTCTTAACCTACAATAGGGGCTTTTATAATTCGAACAGGGTTGTGGGCTCCTGTCTAGTAAAATTATACTACGGCATCTCCACAACCATGCATCACAAGTTGTCTTAACCTGTTTGAACCCTAAACCCTAAACCCTTGAGTAGGGTGCTACCGTAAGCCTTGGCGTAGCTCGCACAGTTTTTCAGCCCCTCTGTAACGGGTTGGTCCGGTAGGCTACGGTGTATGGACTAAACCTTAAGCCCTATAGACCCTATAGACCCTAAACCCTTACCCCAAAGCCCTATGGACCCAATAGACCCTATAGACCCTAAACCCTAAACCCCAAACCCTAAACCCTAAACCCTAAACCCAAGCCCCTATTGACCTTACAGACCCTAAACCCCGAATCCCAAACTGCGACCTCCATTGGCCGAAGCGCCTCTGATCTCGCACTCCACCCTGAAGAGCACATGGGTAGTTTTCAATACTAGGGTCCCATTAGGGTCCTTTTCATAAGGGTGGCTGTATTGGGGGGCCTAAAAAGTTACCCTAATTTAGAGAACTACCCACATGGACATAGCGCTTAGGGTTGTAGGGCTGTAATGTTGTAGGATTGAGGGTTTAGGGTTGAGGGTGTGCGTCTTTGAAAGGTTTTCCAGTTACAGGGTTGAGTACATAAGGGATTCGGCCCTAAACCCTGAACTCTAAACCCTGAACCCTGAACCCTAAGCTCTAAACCCCTAAACTCTAAACCCTAAACTCTAAATCCTGAACCCTAAATCCTGAACCCTGAACCCTAAACCTTGGTCAGGGCTCTAGTTTTTTGTGCTTTGGGGTTTGATACCTTGAGGGTTCAGGGCCGGCTTCAAGGATTCAAGGCTCATAGGGTCATACTATAGGGTTTAGGGTTTAAGGTTTAGGGATTTAGGGGTTTAGGGTTTAGGGCTTCACTGGGTTTACAGGGTCCGTGTAGCTCTTCGACCTCGTAGCCTCGTATGGTCTCATCGTGTTTATAGGGCTTGTAGGTCTGGTGGGGAGTGCAGAACTTCGGGCTTGGAGGGTTGCAGGCTTATAGTTTAGGGTTTAGGGGTCTGAGGGGTAAAAGGTCTCCTGCTTGATTTTTGCGTGTGTAGGGTGTTCAGATCCCATCTAGATTCCTGCACGTGCTGGTTCTGGCCAGGGCTACTTCTATGTCGGCACAGACATATCGGGTGTCTTGGTGGCAGGATTTTGCTGCAAGTGTAGGAATTCTAGTATGAAGTTTACCATTTAGGGTTTAGTTTTTAGGGTTTAGGGTTTAGGATTTAACACAGACGGTCTCTGACTTCATGTCACCGCTGGTTGGGTGTACGGGGTTGTTGACGGTCATTGCATCGAATTACTCGGATCTAAAGCCACTCGACTTGAAGCTGCGAATCGAACACTGCATTCGTACACGTGAAGTGGGGTGCATGAACGAACTAGAAGACGAGTGGCCCGAAAGCATCATTAGCCATGAGTTTTGGGGCCATGAGTGTCGGCTATAGAGAGTCTATAGAGAGTCTAAAGAGAGTGTCGTAGAGTCAAGTGTGGTAAAGTCAAGTGTCGTAGAGTCAAGTGTCGTAGAGTCAAGTGTGGTAGAGTCAAGTGTG